CCCTATTTGTTGTGGGATAAACAGTGGTGGCTGCTTGCTCCAGATGGCTGATAGCTCTTAGGGAGAATGACCCCTGATCTACTCCTGATGACCTCCAAGTGTATAGTCATTCACGAGCAGCTAAGTTTGGCATATATTTGGGGGAGACAACTTGGGAGAAATCCATCTGTTTCCCACAATTCCCCCTTTTGTTTTATACATAAAATTCAAAAGAGCCACAGTAGCTACGTGGTTATTTTCTATACACTGAAAGCTGTCGAGGCAAAGCTTCATGATCCAATTAATATAGCCAAAATTTCAGGCTTATATTAAATGTTTTGCATCCACATGGAGGATAAAGTCCTCCTAAGCCCATCTTCTATTGGAGGAAGGTATGAGAGGGGTTGGATGCTGCGGCGGGAAGAAAAGGAGCAAATAGGAATGTCTGCTTCTATAGGGAGAATGAATCAACCATGTGCTCACTTTAAGGCAGCACAGCTTTAGGGGAGAAACTGTGGAAATGATAAACTACTGCAGGAAAATGTACTCGGATTATATCTCCCAACTACCAGAGGCGGCTTTCCTACTATGGAACGCTGGCTTTCCAGATTCCCTTCGTATATACGTCAGGGAATAAGTCCCAGTTCTATTTCCCTTAGTGCTAGTATCCCACATTTCTCCTTTCTGCATTACGTTTAAGATTCAATAGTGTCATGGGGGCAACATGGTCTCTTTTCATATCTCTTAGCTTCCTATGGAAGCAACACAAGACTGCAAGCATCAAAATTATGATGATAAACAACACAGTCAGACTAGAGCTTAAGCTATGTGAAATGCTTTGAGCCCAAGCTCGCGGGATCCAGCCTCTTTCTATGCCAACCACCATTTGTTTAAATACATCAGCTAGTGGAGTGCCTTAAATCCACCCTTGAATGTATAGAAAATAGCCTTTTAGCTAAATCACATCTAATGAAATGCTTCCCTTATTGCAAATGTTTTCTGTTACTTCCCAATCATGCAATGTCGTCTTATATGGATAAGGGGTTCTACAAAAATCAGTTACATTCCAATCACATTTTAACAATTGACAAGTCCAAAATCTTGATCTTTCAGCAAAGCAACAGTTTGTAGTAATAGTCCAGTCACTATTGTATAAAATGTTCAGCTTTGATAGAGTCCCATAGTGTCCCTTAGACAGCATCCGCTATGGAAGAAATATCTCAGCGTCAGAGATCGCCATTCTCAGGAATCTGTGAGGTCTTCTTGAAGTTTTGAATAAAAGGACAGGGGGGTCAGGTCACACATCAGCTTCCCTCCTTTCTTCTGGGCCTTGCTGCCTGAAGAGAAATCCACCTATCTCCTTTGCCTGTGAAAGTATAAGCAAATAGCCCCTCTCTTCGGGGTGTCAGTAACCTGAAAAAGGAATTGTGATTAAGCTTTTGTGGGTCCTTCGTGTCCACCTTTTTCCGAACGTGGTTGCATCCTTCTGCTGAGTCCATCAGCTTTATTCTTCAAGAACATAAATGCACATCCCTTTCTCCAGGTGACAAATGGACCTGGATCCCAAACGCGAGCCCCATCATCTTGGGACTTCTTAGGATCATCTCTGTAGAAGTGAAAATGTGTTTATCTTACCTAACTTTGTTACAAGCTTTCATTAAGGAGAAATTTTTTCTTAGTTAAAATGACCAAATGAAATTTGTCAAACATAAGATTCCTTTTCTCCCCCTTCTGTTTTAGCAATGCAGATATTAAAGCACTGCTGGTCTTGAACCAGTAAAACTACTAGTTAGATAGCCTTTATTGTTATGTAAATTTGGTTCCCAGCTCTCAGAGAATTAAAGCTAAATTGTGAGAACTTCTTACCGCACTCTGGGTTTGAAAGACTAACAAAATTCTTAATGAATTTGTTCAGCTGTTCTTGAAGTAATTTACCAAACAGACATTTTTTTCTCCAAGCTTACCAATAAGGTTACAGGTTCAATTAAGCCGTATTGCTCTTTATGCTTCCCATACTGTAGGACTTTACAATCTTGCAATATTCCGTCCTGGTTAAATTCTCCTATTCCCTCCATGCTGGCTGTAGGGGAAGTTAATGGGCGGGTCTTAGGTCCTCCTGAATGGAATAACCCCATATCCAGAGCTGAAAAGCCTTTTTCCTCCAATTTCTAATTCCATGGGGGGGCGCTGCTGTTTCCTCACTACAGCATTCCAAAAGACCCCTTGATTTAAAGGGTGGTTAGACTTAAGTACTCCTTTCTGATTAAGTATGAATTTTTACTCTAGAAATGAAACGAAACAAAAATTGACTTTAGCGATCTTCTTTCTTTATAAACCATGGTATATCAGATTTTATCACTGCCTTAATTTCTTCATAATCCTGATTCATAATTCTAGCAAAACCTTGAGAATTTAGGTTGGACGTTCCTAATAAACATCCTATAGTTTTTTTAGGTAGTGGATCCCAATTAGCCCTCTAAATAATTCCTGGTTTAATCACAGCTTTTGCCTTTTCCTTGCAACTCATCAACTCCAGTATTAATTTTAATTCCTTGAGTACTTAGGTTAAAACTTCCTGATAAAAATTGTGTTACTCTTTCAATAAGAGGCTCCGGCCTTTTAGAACCAGCAAACTGCTGTGAGAGTTTGAGCCTTCTCTTGGTTAGTCAGGGTTATTGCAGCAAGAACAGGGGCTGGGCTTTTGCCGGTTTGACTAGGTCTGGTCTCCTGCTGTGAGATTGGGGGATCCCTGCAGTCTCTTTCTAAGATCTTTGCTCGGGCAGGCAGACACCTTGCCTCCCTTGCTCTGCTGGGCGGGGTCTGTATCAAGCTCCCTCCTCCATTCCTCAGGGAAGCCTTTGCTAATGGCAGTCCTTTACTGTTGAATTTTGGGTGACATTGACTCGCCCAATGAGTTCCCTTCCTACAGCGTGGGCAAAGCTCAGGGTCTTTTAAACCCGAATTAGGTGGCCCTGGCCCATACTCTGATGCAGGTCGCAGTTTGCTTTTCATGGCTAGGCTGATCGGCATGTGCTGTCTGCACTCTTTGAAGATGACCTATCTTCCTACAACTAAAGCATTTTCTTTTAAGCCTGGGGTAATTTGCCAGGGCAGCTGCCATGAGGTTGGCCTTGTACTCATCTGTCTTTACATTCCTGCACATTCTAAATAATCTAACAGTGTGCCCTGTACCTTATAGGGAACACTGCATCCCTTTTGGGTGCTGCTCGTCTATAACTCATGGGGTAAACCACTCTAAATTCTGAATCTGCTTCCTGGGCTATGCTCTTCTCTACCTGTGAGGACAAAGGTGCCTTCCTACGCCCTGCCTCTTTGCTTTTTGCTTCCCGAACCTCACCTTCTATGTTAAATCTCTCCACTTGGTTTTCTTTGGATCTAATCTCATCTCTCCCTCCAGCACTGACTTGCTCAATAGTATTGATTCCCTAAGCTATATTCTGGTGGTGGCACAGATGCTTCTAGTCTGAGATCTCCTGATTCAGACTTCATTTTCTCAGCTCCGTTTAACATCTTCTCATCTGCCTGATAACTCATTTCGCCTGCTTCTCGCCTGATTTAAGTCTGCGTAGCTTAGAGGCTTCTCACTGCTCTGCTGGTCTTGTTCCTTTACACTTTCACCCTGCAGCGGCTCCAACACTGCTTTAATCTGCACCCACAGAACCCAGGTCTCCATGGGTATGCTCTGTCCTTCCCTGTGAGCTTTTCTTAAGTTAATGGCTATCTTATCCCAGATCTCCATATCAAAGGTTCCTGACTCTGGAAGAGGGTTAAATTTCTTTACCAATTGAGGAAACTTATTCATTCTCTTATGTGTTACCACTACATTTTGTTTCTTCAAGAGGTGGCAAAGCGTGATACCATACTCTGTATCTTTGCTCTTTGCCTGACCCATATCTCACTCGGACTAAAAACACACTCAAAAAAAGAAACTCAAAAAAAGTTTTCCCTATTTACTCTCTGTCCGATGAGGCCGTACAATACAATTGTTACACAGGATATAACTCAAAAGAGTTCTTTTCCTACAAGGCCACACGTGATGGGCGCCACCTATGGGGAGAGGAGAGTCCCCAACAAATCATTACAGGCGCAATTGTACAGCAATAATAAGATTATAGTAAAGTCATAGAGAGCATGAGAGGTAGGGGAGAGATTGGAATAATGGAGTCAGACACAATTCATGGTAGCATGCTCACCTCAGCCCCGCTTGGTGGTCCTCGTGGTGGGAGCCCGGCTGCGAGAGCAAGAGAGCCTCCACTTTATTGCTAACCAAGGGGGACATGATTACAGGTAACCACACGTCACAAGAAGGGGCAGTACAGTAGGCGTACACATCGTAGGAAGGGGATGTATGATAGGCATAAGCGTAACAGGAAGGGAATGAGCGAGGGGTGGGCCCGTAGGAATGGGAAGGTCTAAGATTCCCTCTGTACCAGTTAGGGATTAAGGTCCAGTTCTATTTCCCTTAGTATCCCACACTGTAACACTTGAGTAGAAAGCCCCTTTTCTCCCACAGAACAGTTGGTGGTTTCGAACTGATGACCCTGCATAACCCACTGTATAGCCCCTGCATAGCCTACTGTCTAACCGCCACACCACCAGGGCTCCACTGAGAACAATAGTGATGAAGAGATGGATAGGAAGGAAAGCAAGGGGAGGTTGGTGGCAGACGTTTGTTTCCTATCACAGGTACTTTCAAGTGTTGAGCTAGGTTTGTCATCAGTATTGGCTAAGGCTGCTCTAAGCAGTCATCAGGAGCCAGGTCTGGTGGTTTGAGGTGGGAAAAGGTTGCGGAGCGCATGAGCTCTGGAGCGGAGGGAGGCCTCCACGCTGGGAAGTGAGGGGATAGCCAGGGGCTGAGCCCTGTATCTGTAGGACCTCTGCCCTGCAGGGAGGGGGAGCCTTTCTAGTAGGGGCTCCCTCACAGTGTGGCTCCCTCAATTTGGGTCTGAAACCTCTGAACCAGTCTGATAAATGCTCTTTCGTTTTTGTTCCGGCTTTAGGATTGGGTGGCCTTCGGCACCAAGCTCTTTGCAGGTGCCAAGATAGACCTCAGCACCTTGGCACAGCAGCTGGACGTGACTACACGGAACCTCAGTGCTCACCAGAGAGGTGAGAGGGAAAAGGGAGATGGGGTGGGGTGGGGAATGCTAAAGCCAACCTAACCATTATCCGTCCACCCCCAGCGGCGCTTTCTTTCTAGCCTTTCCGGGTTTCCACCTATGTTTTTGTAAGCAACTGAAAGCTCTGGGTTGTACGGCTGTCATTATTTCATGGGTATAATTTGTCTGCCCAGCACTTTCCTTGGAGTTCTTGGAGCCACTTGCTTTGAATGCTGACCGTTGTCCTGGGGAGACTACTTAGGTGCGTGTGTATTGGATTCCTCTTCCTAGAACAACTGTCCAAGAGGACGCAGTCAGTGCCTGGCCAGGACTCTGGGTCCAGGTCCTGGGGAGAGGGCCACCCACACCCAGTGGCAGCTGAGTGAACTGCTCCTCTGGGCAAAAGCCTCAGAAACAGCAGGTTCTTGGGCTACCAACACAGCCCGGTCATTTTCTGCATGGCTACTGGCTCTTGTGCTTCCGTCAGTTTGGGTGGCTCTTTTTGAACTTGAGTGGATGCTTTGTATCTTGTAGAGCTGAGCTCTTTATCACTGCACACAGACAACTAGCCCTTTTAGAGGCTGTCTAGGAGAGGTATTCCGCGAGAGCTGGTGAGCAGCGCCTTAGCCGGCTGTCTTCATGTCAGGGCTATGGAAGACGGAACCCTCTGTAGGTCAGGCTTCCGTCCCATTCAGTGGTGGCACCGACCGCATGGGGACTGCTAGGGGTTCAGACATCAGCTCTCCTTGGGCGCTTTTTCATGACAATTCTTGGTGTTGATCCGACCTGTGCCTTTCCAGTGTGCCTAGTGTTTCAGGAGCTCCTGAGGCCATCACAGCCAAGCCCCGCAGGGGCCTGTCCAGTCTGGGTTCTAACTGAAACTGCGTGCTGAGGGCCCTTGCCAGGGAGAGGTGGCCTCCACTGGCCTGTGGAAGTTAGCACCGGACACGATACCTTCATCTCCACCATAGACTGGGGCCTGGGCAGCCTGCCCTATAAAAGGGAGATGACTTGACGTCGCCCTTATGAATATTATGGCTACAGTCCGCAGATTGGTGAAAGTGTTTCTGCTACGCCAGTTTGTTCAGGGAAAGTCGGTGACATGTACGCATAAGAAAGAACTTGATATGAGGAAGGGATCCCTGCTCAGTTCAGCTCAAGTCCATGGGTTCATTGCCCTCTTCACACCCAGGTAGCTGCAGACTGTCCCCTGTAAGGACCCTGGATTAGCCTGTGCCCTAATTTACAGGTTGAGAGTTCTACCCCTAGACTTCCATACCCATTCAAGTTGACATGAACTTACTGCAACACAGGGTTCACCTGGCTGCAGGGCCAGGGGTTGTGGGATAGGGTTAACGAGTAGCAGAGGGTGAGAGAGCTCATGGCTAATCCCATGGCTCACAGCCATGCGACTGTGGGAGCTGTTCTGTAACTTGGGGGAAAGCCCACGCATAGGTGCTATGAGGCTTAGGTACAGTTCTGGAAGGATGCAGCAGCCCCTATCTAACAAGTGCTGGCCCTGCCCCTCATCTCCCGTAGGGTGGGCGACAGATGATGGTGAGGGTTGTGTGTTGCTGTGGGGAGTCTGCACGCTCCTAGGTCAGTTTCCCAAACTTAGTACTGCTCCCTTTTCAGAACAAAATCACTAACAATGACAACCTGATGTACTGTAGCCTACAATCCAGGACCAGGTGAGGTCTCTGCTTCTGTCACCCCTGGATGATTGCTTTTGGCGGGTGGAAGAAGGCAGGGGATGCACCCTTGTTCAGGGCCTGCTGCCTTAAGTGCGCCCTGTGGTGTGGTGTGGAACGTGGTTTCAGCCGGGTGGTGTGTGGCTGTCTGTGGTTCAGACTTCCCACCAGTGCACTTTCATTGTCACTTAGTGTCCCTCCTCTTGCCTTGCCACATCCAACCCACTGAAGTATCTGTTTCAGTGTAGGGCTGCCCCCTAACCAGAGAGCCCTGAGCCATAACTCTGTATGTGTATGTGACCCTGGACCATGGGCAGACAGACATCTGGAGGCCAGCCCATCCTCTCAGGTGCTGCTGCCTGTGGACCCCCGTCCCCTCAGGTGTGTGTGTGTGTGTGTTTCCGTGAGCCCCATTGTGTCCCTCTTCTGCCATTTGGAGTTTGTCAGGGACCCCCGCAGGCCGGTGCTGGCTGGGCTGGGGGTGGGGTTAGTAAGCGGCACCGTCGTGGTCTCCCTTGCCTGTGGGATGGGATGCCTGTCTGCTCAGATGAGCAGTTGCGTCGTCCATCCCCGGCAGGGCGGTCGTCCTCACTGCCCTCACCAATGGCAGCCAGCTGCGCGCCCTGGGCTGACTCAGAAGCAGCTGCCCTCCTGAGCCCTAGGGTGAGGAAGGAGCCTAGCATGGGTTGCAGGCCCACCACCTTGGCGAGCAGCTGCCAGGTGAAGGCTCTCCCCATACCTGGGTGTGTGGGAGGCCGCATATCCCTGAGGCACTTTGATAACTTCCTGGGTTCCAAACAGCCTCTGAGAGCTGGCCTGGATCTGGAAGTCAGCTCTGCACCCCCACCCCCTCCCCCCACAGTTTTGAGTGTGGACCCCACCATTCCCTCCAGGCCACCAGCTGGCAGGCAAAGGGCCAGTATGGGGATGGAGGGGGGTCTGTGGGGGTGTTGCAGGGTCACCTGAGGCCTTGAAGGTCTTGGCTTTGTCGCCACGTGTCCCATATGCCCTGCCTGCAGATAGCACCACCACAGACCATCCACCTCCCTCTTTGAACCAAAGAAGGCTAGAGGGCCGTGCGGCGAGTGCAGCATCAGACCCAGGGCCCTCCCTTCCATACGCCACGCACTCAGGCCCACGGCTGGCAGGTGGGCATGGGTGTGGTATGCTCCTTAGCCGCCAGGGCACACGCTGCTCTGTCCCACCATTCTGCTCAGAGGAGGCAGTGGAGAGCCCACCCACCCCGGAGCTCCGGGGTAGACTCTCCTTAGAGCTCTGCCCTTCCAGAAGGTGGCAGGAAATCAACCCACTTTGATTTGAGACCTAGCATGTCAGAGTATCGTAGGGTCCTGTACTTAGGTGGGGGCCCCAGGCCTGGTGTGGGGCTCCTAGGACAACGGTGAGGGAGGCTGGGGTGGGGGCCAGAGAAAAGAGGTGCTGGTGGGGAAGGCTTGCAGGAGGCTGTGTCGATTGAGAGGCTGGGGAAGGGTGGTGACCAGTGGAGAGAACTCAGGCCAGGTGGGACCGTGTTCAAGGGACAGTGGGCACACCTACAGATGGTTCTCCCAGTCCCTACCCTGGAAACGGGTCTGTGAATGGGGCCCTGGCCATGGGCATTGAGTAGGTATTGGCTTTCTCCCTAGTGGGGACTGCTCGCTAGAGGGCAGCAGAGGAGCGCAGTGCTTCGGTTCAGCCAGCTGTGGGAGGACTGGCTAGAGCCCAGGGACCTCCTTTCAGCTCCCAGGGTTCTGAGCCCAAGCACACTGTGGACACCAAACATTTGGGGGTAATGGTGGCAGTAGTTAGGAACTGTTCACATTTTCAGATGCCTTGTGGAAGGAAGACCCTCCTTCCTCTACAGCTCTGCAGTCAGTGTGACAGCCATCCTTCCGAAGGGCTGGGGGTGCTGTCTGCATGGACACCCTGAGGAGGAGAGGGCGGTGGGAGGCGGCGGCTGCACACATGGCCTGCTATTTCTAACTCCGCTCTTTGAGCTGGTGGCTGGCAGCTATTTCAGGCTCTCCGTGTATTTCTGCTGTGTGTGGATCTGCTGCAGCACCCTGCCGTGGCCGGCTGCTCCGTGCTCGCTCAGCACTGGCAGCTGGGGCCGCGGCCTGGAGAAGCGTGGGCTGAGGCCCTCAAATAGACACCGAGGGCACACGGGTAAGGCGGAGGGCGGCCTGTGCGCTGCTGTCACAGTCACGGTGAGGTGTCTATGCTGGAAACCAGCCCTGTGAAATAGGGACCTGTCCGGTAGCCGAAGACCGCTTGGGACATCTGAGCTCTTTGTAGAAGACAGGCCTTCCACCCACAGAAATGCCTGCTCATGTCACCTAGGTGGTGTGCGTGTGCTTTAGAAAACGAGCGGCCGTGGGCATTTTGCTTTGCTCAGTTTACCAGCTTCCTCTAGGACGTTGCCTCTGATCAGCACACTTGATCCTTTAGGGGGTTTGTTCTCATAACCACCTCGTGGCAGACCTCCCAGGTGCCCCCCAGCAGCTGGGCCCTGCAGGGTAACATGTGGCAATATGATGCTGTAGAGATTGCTGCCTGGGGAGCCCTGTGGCGCAGTTCTACTTTGTCCTTTCCATAGAGGTAACTATTGGAATTGACTCAGCAGGAAGGCTCTGGTTTTGTTAATAGCCACAAAGTTGCAATGTAAGACCATGAAGAAACTTGGAAAAGACTAAATAAAAAGGGCAGAGATCTCTGCTGCCTCCCTGAGCCCTGTTCCTAGTCTTTATTAGGTGGTTAGCCTGTTTCTTTGTTTTTTTAATCATTTACTGGGGGCTCACACAACTCTTACCACAATCCATACATTCATCCCTTGTGTCAAGCGCATTTGTGCATTTGTTGCCATCATTCTCTAAACAGTTGCTTTCTGTGCTTGAGCCCTTGGTTAGGCTGTTTCTTACTGGTTTGGAGAGGATCTCGTTCCATAGGAAGGAAGCGCATCATCTCTCTTGTGCTCCCTGCTTCCATGGAGCTGGTGTAATTATTCTCCTTACGAGAGGTGGCGGTGTGCTTTCTTTGTGCCGCTTTGTTTCGTAGCTCTTGTATTTTTGGTGTTCTTGTACTCTCATGGTGCCGTGGCCACTGATGCCTTTAATCCATCAGGCCCTTGTTTGGGTCTGGAGAGAGGCGGAGGGTACCAGCTTTGTTTCCCCCCCAAAAGGCCAGGCTGATAAGTGCTTTTCAGAAGATGTTTACAAGGATGAGCGTGTCGTGGGCAGCCGCAGGGTTGTGAGACTGCCGCGATCCGGGCACCTACATTCTTTCTGTGCACTCAGGTGACGTGCTTACATAACTGGTCGCTCACCTCTTAGTACCTGTGCAAAGCCAGCGTGAGACCTCGTGATGGAATGAAAAGCCGAGCTGCCCAATGGTATTTACAGACAACCCGATTGCAGGCTGATTGTCCCCTCTCCCATTAGCATGTCGGCTGTGCTGGCAGAGGCCCATGGCTGCTGCAGTGACAGGCAGGGGCCTCTCTTGGTCTTTGCCCTCCTGCTGCTAGGCTGGAGCTCTGGCAACAAGAAGAAACAGCAGCACAGGCTCAGTCCGTTGGCCCTCACGGAGTTTTCATGTCAGCTGAGACAACCAAGACCCAGGCCCCAGGCACTGGGGCCATTTGCCTGCCTAGAAGCAGAACTCCCTAAGGCTCCTTTTTGCCTCCTGCCAGGTACGAGCGGACTGTGTGTCCTGTCTCTTGTCCCATGGACACTGGGAGCTATAGGCATGGCCCAGGGCTGGGTAGGGACAGCAGAGAGGAAGAAGTAGCTGGGTGGCCAGCCTGGGGCCCACAGGCCCCCTTTCGCCTTCCTTCTTTCCTTCCCTTCCCTCCCTCTCTCCCTCCATGGAGTAGACTCCTGCAGCTACAGCCCTCCCTGTAGTGCTTGCTTGGGGCTCAGGGTACAGACGGGGGAGCCAGCTGCTCCAGCTCGCTTTGCCACGTTACCCTTCCTCATTCCTCAACTCAGCCGGTGACATGCAGAGCTGGGGGCACTGCAGGGTTCAGGGTGAGCGAAGTGAATGGAGGGCCATCTCCAGGTGTGCCAGCTCAGTGCGCTGCTCGTCGCACACAGGTGGGCACCTGTGTGCAGGGACCATGACTCAGGAGTGGGGGTAGGAGGGCAGTAACACTGGCTCAGGCTCCAGGTTCCTGGAGTGAGTGGTTGGGAACGGGATTAGTAATGGGATTCGTTCCTGTCTCTTGACGGGACTTGTTAGCTGTTGGCCTTCAGGCCGCATGGATGTGTTTTATTAGCCAGGAAAATTGGTGTGAAGGAAAAACAAACCCCGAGAAGCACATCTCTTGCTAACATGTTCTCTGCAAAACGTCATTGATGCTGGTCCTGAACACAGTTGCGAGGGTGTAGAGGAGGAAGTGTGGCGGGGCCAGGCATCTGTCCAGACGTGCTGCCTGCTATTGCTCGCTGGCCTTTCTTTGTCCAGCTACTGGCCACCTCCCAGTCACTGTGGGCAGTGACATTCTTGCATGGGTTGTCTCTGCTCTGGTCCCCTGCAGGCCACCTGCTCTGGGGGCACCAGTGAGCAGGCGGCTCCCCATGGTGTGTCTGGTCGGACATTCACTCCTGCAGTGGGGGGCTGTCGCATCCGTCTCTGGCCACTTTGATTTTGATTCGTGGTTTATTTTGATAACCAAACCTCCAGATTTGGTGTCCCAGTAGCCTCCCACTGCACAGTCCCTGGGGTTGATCCAGAGGAGTAGCAAGCCTCGTGTCCCCTCCCTGGTGGCCACAGCAGTCCCTTGCTGTCAGATGTGTTCCTGCCCTAGCCACAGAAAGCAGGGGATACAAAGGTTCCCTCCTCCAAACTGCCATCATGGGATTCAGGAGGCCACTGTGAGTCCAGAGGACCCGGCTGGCTCAGGGCAGAGCAGTGGTGACAGGTGCCACCCCAGGCTCCAGGGAGACCACTGTCTCAGGTGGGCTGAAGGCTTGGAGCGAGCCAGACCATGGCTGCTGGGCAGGCGAGGGATCTGCGCCCAGAGGACTGCGGTCTGTACCAGACGCTGCCCCACCCTTTCTCAGCAGCAGCCCCTTCCAGAGGCAGGAAGCAAGCCCGGAGCTCGGCCTGTGGCGGGTGCTGAGTGAGACTGAGTTGTGCTCTTGACAACCCTGTGGCTGGCCAGGCTGCAGGCAGGGACGGCAAGGAGGCCTGAGGTGTGAGCGTCGAGTGCAGGCCTCCCACACCCTCTCGGGCCAGGCGATGCCTCCGCTGACCGTCTGAGCAGGCCTTGCTGGGGTTCACAGGCTTGAGGAGCAGACAGTCCTGGCCTGAGGCCCTGAGGACACGCAGCTGGGGAGCAGTCCCTGGGAGACTGCAGCCTTGACAGGGCAGTTTTCTTCGTGGCTGACTTCTCTAGGACATGGCAGCCTGTCCTGTGGCCATCCTGGAACTGGGCTTCTGGCCAGGGAGGGCTTGACCTAGGACCTCACAAGTTCAAAGCCTGCTTGGTGGTAAGGGACTGGGGTTGTTACCTCAGGGATGCTGGAATTCTGGTGTCAGGGAGCACTCCAACATGCGCCCACTTGCCTGCCAGCACCTTGACACTGGGTGGCACTGTCTACGGGGGTCCTAGGCTTTGGTTGTGTGCGGCGTGCCTCTGGTTCCTGCTCTACAAATGTCTCAGTAACCCACATATTCTCTGTCTTCAGATGAAGAGAAGAAGGCACCTTTGAACAAGAAGGAAAGAATGAAGCTGAGACGGGAGAATTGGCTGCACAGTAAGTTGTTACTTTGGGGTATTGTCAAAGTGGTCCAGGGGTGGCGTCCCAGTCGGGCTCTGGGGGATCGATGCTAAAAGGAGAGCACTGGTGAGCCCTGGAGAGGCTGAAGGCCATCAGGAAAGCCTCACCCAGCAGCCCCCTAGTGTGGGTTTTAATGTGGCAGCCACATGCCCCAGCAGTAGGTACCACTGAGATCCGCAGTCTGCCAGCCTTGGCCCCAGGAGCCGCTAGACGTGCCTCTTTGCTTGTAAAACTATTTTGGTGTTTGAGTCCCAAGATGAATCTTCAGTTACAAAAATATGTGCTAGTTTGGAATATTTTATGTTACAAAAGCAGGGCTACGAACCAGTTCTTCCCTCTTTGGTCACGGCTGAGGAGCAAAGTGAGTTTCCAGAATTTAAGTGAATCCGCGCGTGATGACCGGATGGGAACGAGGAAGGGGTCAAGACGCTGCCAGCAGCGTAATCTTAGACCTCTTAGAACACCCGGGCAGCGCCCTTCTGCTTTGAGCAGGCCAAAATCAGTGGTTTCCCTGCTCAACGACAGTGGCATGCCACTCACCGCCCCTAGTCTCCTGCCTCACACCCTTTTAGGGTGAAGGGCTCACGCCTCCAGTTCCAGGCCTTGCACCCCTACATTTTACCATCTCTTGTGTTGTTCTGGATCACATCCGCATTTTACAGTTTAAGCCTGTTCCAGTTTTGCTGTAGCCCCCATCCTAAGCTGGTTTGAAGCCCTGCCCAGAAATCTCACAGGTGAGACCAGTGTTAGCTTAGGTATGCGTCCATCCAGACAGCTTTCCACGCATGCACGTGAAGGACGGCACGCGTCTGCACCATCAGCTCTCAGCCTCCTTCCTGCAGAGCATCCCGTAGCACGTGGAGCACGTGGAAAGACTAGTATCACGACCACTTCAGAGGGAATACAAGAGGTGCTTCAAGAAATTTGTGGAAAAATGGAATTCAAAGCGATGAGTTTTTCCATAATAAGAATATTCTGAAGCCCCCTCACGTAGTTATTTTTCATGATGCATTATTTATGTTAGTGTAAGATGAGTTTCTCATTGTTTTCAAATGAACTGGTATTTTAAATGCTTTTGTTCTAGTGTTGAGTATAGTTCTAGATCCACACAAGCAAACGCTTGGGGTCCTCAGTGCTCCGTAACCGTGTGCAAGTGCATTGAGACCAAGGAGGCCCTGCCCCACGAGCCGAGCTGCTGTCTGCTGGCGGCGGTCTCCTCAGCTGGGAGGAGCCTGGGTGCTTTAGTGGTCAGCGCTGTGCCACGGTGAGCTGCGAGCTGACATGTTTTTGACCTTGTTAAAAGAAAGGGCCTTTCCTTATGTTTTCAGGAAAAATGTACTAAAATTCACCCCATTTCTGGGCACCTTCCCCTGCGCTCACCATTTTCCATGGTTCTGTCTCCATGCACTGTTGGCATGAAGAGCCGTCCAAAGCGGGGTCTCGCTTTTATCCTGGAACAGATCTTACGTGGACACGCTGGGCTGCTTTTATTTTTCATATGTCGAATATTTGTTGTGGAATGATACTTTTTCCCCATGAAGATTGCTCTACCGCTGTTTTTTTCCTTAGAATCTTTCTCGTATGGCTTTGCCGACTTTATAAAATCCATGTTGACTGTTTTCTTAATTTCCTATTTTCTACCACTTTGGGGATGTTTCCTAAGAAAACAATTCCTCTCTTTTATAGCTCTTAGTGTAGAGTTGTGTGGTGTTCTTTGAAAAGTGGATTGGAAAAGTTAATCATCTATGACCATTTAGAGCCGAAACATTCCTTGACTATAATTCTTTGACTCAGAAGTTTCTTCCAGAGTAGTTGGCCTCTTTCTGTTTTTATTTTGATTCATTTTATGGGGGCTCGTACAGCTCTTACACAATGCAAACATCCACCCATTGTGTCAAGCACGTTTGTACATTTGTTGCCATCATCATTTTCTTCTTTTGGGTATTTTAACAAAATCATTTTATTGGGGGCTCATAATCCAAACATCCACCCATTGTGTCAAGCACACTTGTACATTTGTTGCCATCATTCTCAAAACATTTGCTTTCTACTTGAGCCCTTGGTGTCAGCTCCTCATTTTTCCCCTTCTCCGCCGCTCTCCCTCACAAACCCTTGATAATTTAATAAAGTTTTTTCATGTCTTACACTGTCCAATGTCTCCCGTCACCACTTTTCAGGGAGGAGCTTATATGTAGATCCTTGTAAACATTCCCCCTTTCTACCCCACCTTTCCTCCACCCTCCCGGTATCGCCACTCTCACCACTGGTCCTGAGGGATTCTTCTGTCCTGGATTCCCTGTGTTTCCAGGTCGTATCTGTAACAGTGTACATCTTTCTGGTCTAGCCGGATTTTTGTAAGGTAGAGTTGGGATCATGATAGTGGGTGTGGGGCGGAAGCATTTAAGAATTAGAGGAAAGTTGTATGTTTCATCATTGCTACACTGCTCCGTGACTGGCTTGTGTCCTCCCTGCAACCTTTCTGTAAGGGGATGTCCAGTTGCCAACAGATGGGGCTTTGGGTCCCCAATCTGCACTCCCCCTCAATCACAATGATAGGATTTTTTATTCTTTGATATTTGATCCCTTTAACACCTCTTGATCACACAGGCTGGTGTGCTTCTTCCATGTGGGCTTTGCTGCTTCTCAGCTAGCTGGCCACTTGTTTATCTTCAAGCCTTTAAGACCCCAGGCGCTATCTCTTTTGATGGTCGGGCACCATCAGCTTTCTTCCTTGTTTTTGTTTTTCATTGGGGGGAAAAGTGGGCTTTGCCTCCCTGTTTCCCCCCATAAATTGTCAGATCTCAACTCTTATCAGAGTGAATTGCACACAACATTACTTTCTCATTTTCAAAAGCCCTGCAGACCCTCTGCCTCATTCTTCAAGCCGTTTCAGCGAGAGCCTGCCCTTAGCTGCCTGCCCCTGTCTTTCTCCAGGGACTGGTCTTCGGATCACCGTCCAAAGTCTGTAAGACAAATCTTGCCGTCCTTGCCTCTGAGGAGCACTGGGCACACTTCTCCCAGGACGGCGACGTTGGATTGCCTTGGAAATCTAGGGCGCACATCTGCTCTGTCCTGTTAGGCGGTTATGAGTCAGGCTTGACAACAGTGGGTAAGAATATGTATGTTTCTGTTTCGTTAGTAGGTTTTGTCTTTGTCAATTCTCATGTTTTCTACATTATTGGTTTCAGTTTTCCCAGTTTCCTATTTTTTATGTCTGAGTTTCTGACTTCATTTATTTTCCTATCTTTATTTTCACATGCAAGTCTAATTGGCCTGTAGAAAGTATTAGAGAGCAAGGGTGTCACTTTGAGGCCTAAGATGCACCTGACTCAAGCTGTGGTATTTGCAATCACTTCATGCATGTGAGACGCCCTGGTGGTCTAGTGGGTTCCAGTTGGGCTGCTAACCTAAAGGTCAGCAGTTCAAAACCACTAGCTGCCCCTCCGGAGGAAGATGAGGCTGGTGGTTACAGTCCGAGGAAACCCACAGAAACAGTTCTACCTTGTTCCTGTTGTGCCCTATGAGTCAGAATCCACTCAATGGCTGTGCATTTGAGGTTTGGAGGGTCTTCCCACGCCCGTGTGCAATCATTGAAGGCTTGTGAGTTGGCCTCTAGATACAATTTTAGCTGTGTCTCCCAAGACAGTCTTAGTTTGAAAAGTTGCCTAGAGAGAAGTTCAAACTTTTCAAATGAACACATGTCCTCCCACATTGATTGTGCAGTTAGCATTGCGCTTATTTTCATCATGTATCTGTTCATTTACCCATTCGTCTGAATCCACCATGACTACAGAACTTGTAAATGCCTTCCCAGTGAGCTGCAGCATCAGTACGCTTTGATCCAAATGACTCCAGTACAGTGTTTGATTCTTCTCTTTGGGAGGTTCAGATGTGCACGTGATGAAATGCAAATCTCAGGCTGCCACTGTGATTGGTTGCTAAGAAATGCTTGCAGGTTTGGGGTGTTTTTTTGGTTTGTTTGCACTCAAAACCCCTTTCTGGATACAGACCATTAATTTCCCAGAAGCCTCCTGTGCCCCTTTCCAGTCGGTTCCTACCCCAGTGCCCCAGACAGAGATCACGCTGCTCTGACTAGTCGGTATGCGGTATTGTTTTGTCTGCTCTAGACGTCCTCAGTGGGATCCTGTAGGGTATACTTTTTCAGGCCTGGTTCCTCCTTGCTGCATGCACCAGCCCTTCTGTTGATGGACACCTGGGGGGTCGGGAGGTGTCCCACCTCGAGTGACCATAGAGAAGGCTGCTCTGAACATTCTTTCCAAGTCCTTCGGTGGACACGTGTTTTCATTTCTCGTGGGTAAGTCCATGGGAATGGAATGCTGGGTCAAAGGGCAGGTATATGTTTAGTTTTATCAGCAATTGCCAGACACTTTTCTCAAGTGGGCGACCATCTACTCTCCCACCCACGCTGAGGTTCTGTGTGGCTCCACATCTTCCCAGTGTCTGGCGTCCCTGACTCTTTCACCCTGGCTGTGGGCGGGCATTTGAAGCCGCTTTTGGTTTTGGTTGCCATGAGAGCATTCTGTCCGTCTTCTGCTGGTCTGGAGATCTCTCAGTGCAGTATCAGCTCAAGCCTTTGGCTTATTTTTTTCATTAAACTCTCCTGCCTCCTTTTATCATTGAGCTGTGGAAACTCTTTATATAACCAAATGCCTGTTCTTTGTCAGAAGTGTTCTGAAAAAATATTCTCTTGACTATAGATGGCTTGCCTGCGTGGTTTTAAAAAACATTCCTATATTTTTATGAACAGAAACTTGTAGTTGAGAAGGCCTTTTTAAAAACCAGAACAAAGATAGGTTAGTGGGATCTTAGCCCTCAAAGTGCTAAGCTAGCTGTTTTCAACCACGTCATCTGCATGTGAAAGCAGACGGTGACTAAGGATGACTGGAGAGGAAGGGGGAGCCTTCCCACTATGATGGAGGTGACACGCTCGGTGTGTCATGGCCATGGACTGCCGG